CATACTGAATATATCTGTTGTTATGTGCTGTCTAGTGGATTCCAACACATAGTAACCTATGTGACAGTGTATAACTTTCCCATAGGATTTCCCAGGCTGTAATCTGTATTTCTATGTATCTATTTATTTATATGTGTGTGTGTGTGTATGTGTGTATATGTATGTATGTGTGTATATGTATTATACACACATGTATGCATGTATGCATACATGTGTGTATGCATGCATGTATATACATATACACACATGTATGTATGCACATCAATATCACACACATACAAGGAGCCCTGGTAGCACAATGGTTAAGCACTCAGCTGCTAAGTGAAAGGTTGACAGTTCAAACCCACTCAGTGACTCCACAAGAAAGAGACCTGGCAATCGACTCCCACAAAGACTGCAGCCTGAGAAACCCTATAAGGCAGTTCTGTTGTGTCACATAGGATCACTCAAAAAAAAACCTCACTGCTGTCAGGTCAGATCCGACTCATAGTGACCCCTTCTTGGGTTTCTGAGGCAGTATCACTATGGAAGTAGATTGTCCAACTTTCCTTCCGAGGAGTGGCTGGTGGGTTTGAACCACCAGCCTTCTGGTTAGCAGTCAGATGCCTTAGGCACTACACCACCAGAGCTCCCAGGGATCACTATGAGTGAAAAATTTACTCTATGGCACACAATAACACACACATATATACATAAAACAAATATATATAATTAAAGCCAAGGTTTCCTCTTTTTCCACAGTTCTTTCCACCATATCATGTTACCAACAAAAACAACAATAAAGATAATAATATCAACCAGCATTCAATGAGTTCTTATTATGTACCAGGCTCTGTTCTAGATGATTAATATGTATCACCTCATATAAAATTATTAAATTTGGGGGAAAGAGGAGTAGATTTTAGGAAATTAAAGCATCATGGAATGGGTGAATTTTGGAAGCAAGATTTGAAGGAGATATTGGACAGAATTTTATTAGGAAGCTGAGTCAAGATATGAAAGAGGAAGGTGAAAACAAGACTAGATCAACAAAATGTGTGGATGTTTGTGAGTAAGAAAAGTAGTAGTGAAAAACAGATCAAGTGGCCAAGGGCCAGGAGAAGTAGCTCACAAGGATTTGAGGATGCAGAAATCAAAAGTGACCAAAGGAAGTTGCTATTACCACCATTTGTAAATTGATTTATTTCCAAGTTTCAGAAGTAAAATTAATGTGATCTATTTTGACATAGCAAATAGACACGTTCTTAGCGCAAGACTGACTGAAATAAAATACATTAGACTCTGTGAATGGTCCTAGTGATATCTCTAAAGGGTTACTTATTATCTGTTAAATACTTGAATAGGGCATTGTTCTAGAATAGCCGCAGCAACAATCCTCTGTGTAAAGCAGAAGAACCAGTCTGAAAGTTTTGTCTATAGAGAAAGTAGCAAGACAATGCTTCACCTCAGGTAGCAATGTGTTGATGAGGTGATCTGCATCCATCCCAGCTGGGTAGGCAGATGGGCTCTTAGCCAAGTACATTAGAAGATCTCTGATGATTAGCCAGAGGGAACTCATAAGACGATCCATGTGGGTGTGTTATTAAGTCTGACTTGGTTAGGGCATGGAAGGCCAGCACATGACCTATGCTCAGCAGCCAGTCCAGGCTCATTTGAAAATCTGAGTCCAAAGCCTTCACTGGAAGAAATCTCCAGGTTCTCAAAATTACTAAACTCCACCAATTATCTTTGAACTTTTTAGTTTTCTCATTACAAACTCAAATTTCTCCTGTCTTTAAAAAACAGCCAAACAACAGAACAACTCTCCCTTTGTGCTTTCTTGCTACTCCAGTGTTGGGAGTGAGTTGTCTACACTTCCTACCCCCACATTTTCACCCCCCATTCACATCTCAAGTCACTGCTCTGTAGTTTCTTCCCACCATCATTTCACGGAAACAGTTCCTAACAAGGTCACCAATGATTTTTTCAATTGCCAGATTCAATGGACCCATGCAGTTCCTTATCTTACTTGACTTCCCTATGGCATTTAATTATCTGGATATTTCCTTCCTTCTTGAAATTTTTTAACTCTTAGGCTACTATGGCACTACAGTCCTCTTTTCCTGACTAATCTGTAAAACCTGATGTTACTTTTAGCTCCATCAGTTCCTTCATAGGCTACTTCTTCTCATTCGAGATAATCTCCTTGGCATCCTCCCTCATGGCTGCAACCACCACTTGTATTACATATTGATGTAGCCCTCATTGCTACCCTTTGCCTGGACAACTTTCTCTATTTAGCTGCCCACTAAACATTTCTGTCTAGATACCCCATGGAAATTTCAACATATCCCAAAACACTCATGATCTCATCCTAAAACATGCCGATTCTTCATATATTTCCTCACCAATATGTTGTTTAAGTCAGAAATCAGGGAACTCTTTTTTTTTTTTTTTTCAGGGAATTCTTTTTGACATCTCCCTCTTCCTGCCCAATGAGTTGCCAAGCTTTGTCTCAGCCCTTCTCTGTCTTCTCTGTCCAGGTGAGAACCTCCCAACAGAGCTCCCCACCTCCAGCCCCTCACCTTCAAATCCATCTCCATACTGGCCACCAGAGTGGTCTGTCTAAACCCAAACTATGACCATGTCCTTCTCCTACATAAAGTTCTCCCCCTGTGTAAAGTCTTCCCAGGCTCCCAGCTGCCAACCTTTTACATCCTATTTTTCTCCTCTCCCCTATTTTCCACTTTGTGGCCAAAGGAAGCCAGAGCTTATGAGGCAAGCAGCCAACAGCTAGGGCTTTGGCAACCATTCACAGAGATTTGGGTTTGATATAAGAGAACACATAGGAAGCATTTGCAGGTTCATGAGTATAGTGTGATGTGATGACAGCTGCAAACAGCAGGTTCTAGAAGTGGGAGACACATTAGCTGGTTGTTACAACTAAGGCAAAAAAAAGGCCTAAACTAGTCTTCCAGAGTAAGAGAAAAGGGAAAGGTGAATCTATAGGACAAGTGAGGAAAGATAAGTGTCTAGAAAAGGGAAAGTCACCAGATGTAAGTAGTAAGGAAATATCAAAGGACTATGAACAAACTAAATGATCCACACGAAGTCTAAAGGCTTTAAATCCTTCTTACTGGAAGTCCAGCACCAAAGAACAAAAGTAGGGGTTAACTTGGAGAGGGATCTCTGTAGGAGATCCTGAATAGAGTGAGAGAACAATGTGGAATACAACTCAAGATCATTTAAAAAAAAAAATAAAAAAAAGGACCAGGTTTGCTGGTCTGATAGAGCCTGATGAAACCACTGAGACTATGGGTCCTAGATGCCCTTTAGGTATGGAATTGAACCCACCTCTGTGGCTTCCAGACAAACAAAAGACAGACATATGAGCAGAACATTTTTATTATTGGTAGATACACTCCTTGGAGAGATCAATCATGGGCGAATAGAAGGGCTGTGTATACACAAGGAGACAGCTCATGGGGCAGGAATCCACAGGAGGAAAGAGGACACAGAGAAGAGGTAACTGTGGGGAGGAAGTGGGAGGGGAGCTTTTGCATTGTGGGAAATTGTGGTCAATTGTGGTCATGAGACAAAGTGTATGTGAGCTGTTGTATGGAAAGTCAATTTGTTCTGTAAACTTTCACCCAAATCACAATAAAAATAATTAAAAAAAAGAAATTGAAATAATAATAAAAGTAGGGGTTATAAAAACAAACACATACAATTCTACAGGGCAAGGGAGGGAGAAGGATGCTGGGAGAAACTGTAGCTTCTATAAGACAGAGGTCAGGAAAGCCTAAAGAGGAGACAGACACAATTCAAGAACTGTGGGCCTCTCCTATTCAAAGTCTTTGCGACAAGGTGAAAGATGCTCTGGTTGCACAGTGGTTAAGACATTCTGCTGCTTATCAAAGGGTAGCTGATTCAAACTCATCAGCTGCTCCACAAAGATGAGACAGTCTGCCTCCATATAAATTTACAGCCTTATTAACTCTTATAGGGCAGTCCTACTCTGTCCTATATAGGGTCTTTATGAGTCCGAATCAACTCCATGGCATTGGGATTGGTTTTGGGACAAGGTGAAGCCACAGAAGGTGAGCTACACTCAGGAGCTGCACCAAATGACCTCTAAAAGGTAGGCTTTAAGATGATGAAAGTGGAAGCATTCATTCCTTGGACAGATTAAAAAAGAGATCAGTTGAATTATTATAGTTGCTCCTCATAGAGGGTATTATGAAGATTGTCACTTCCAAAAATGTTTTTGAAAGCGGCCAGCTAAAGAGTAAAATAGTGGTAAATGCACACGTTGTTCTTGACCTAATGAACTGTATATATAAATCAACAGAAATGGATGCCAACTCCAAAAGTGCTATCCAAAATGTTGCCAGGATTGGAAACAAGCCACCTACCAGAGTAATTCTTTTTTTTTCTAATAAAAACTGCAGGCCCAGGAGACCTGCACCTAAAGAAGCATAACAGCTTATAAAGAAGCATAACAGCTTATGAAGTTTGGTGTCAGGGAGATCCATGTTCGAACCCAACTGTGCCAACCCCGAAAACCGCCTACGACTCAGTTAAACAGCTTACCCTGTGTGGGTCACACTGCATTGCCCAAGACAGGCCTAGGGTGAACCCAAAAAGGTCGCTGACTCCAAAACACTCTTATTTTCAGCAGCCAGATGGCCAGGGCAGCAGATCCCCCTCGGACAGCCGTTCCCCAGGCCTGGAGCGCCTTTGTCCCCTACACCCCGACAGCACTCGCAGAACCGGCCGGCGAGGTGGCTGGGCAGGGAAAAGGGGCGAGTCGGCAGAAAGTGGGAGAGGGATCAGGGGGCGCAGATGGGGGCGCCCCTGAAGTGGTGGGGACAGGCAGCTCGGGGACCCGCTGGGTGTTGATTGGCTGCGTTGCGGCAGGCAGCTCCCGGCCGAGAACAAAAGAGAGCGGCCGGCGGGCGTCCTCTGGAGTAGGCGCTCCCGCCCGCCCGGCGCGGGCTTCGCTGCTGGGGGAGGACGCACCCACAGCCCGCCCGCCCGCCGAGCAGCCGGGCTGGCGCGCTCGGTTTCTCCACGAAAGCCAGCAGTGTACCTAGGAATTAACCGGCCGGCGCGGGAGGGGAGGGGAGCGGGAAGCGAAGCGGGGGGGATGCTGAGCGCGCGAGAGAACAATAATAAGATCGTGTTTGCGGTCGCTGCCCGAAGAGGAATTCGGAGGAAGCGCGAGGCCCGGCGCTCGCGCCGCTCCTGGAGCCGAAGAAGGCCCGTGGCGGCAGCATGAAGCAGGCGACGCGGCGCCTGTAAGCAGCGCGCGGCGGCGGCGGCAGCGGGAACCTCTGCGCGGCCGGACGCTGACGAGCGCCGAACGGCCGGGGGCTCCCCTCCCCCACTGTCGGGCGGTGATTTGCCGGGCCTGCTGTGCCCCCCGCCCACCCTTCGCCTCAGCTGCCGCCTCGCCGCTTCCCATCGTCGGAGCGGCCGCTCGCCAGCCCGCCCGTGAAGCTCGAGGCCCGTGGGGAGCGCGGCGCAGGCCGTCGGCCCGCGGAGGGTCGGCCTCCCGGCATCTTCGGCGGCGACCAAGGACGACCAGGAAGGGGAGCGGCCGGGATGGCGCGTCCGCGGCCCCGCGAGTACAAGGCGGGCGACCTGGTCTTCGCCAAGATGAAAGGCTACCCGCACTGGCCGGCCCGGGTGAGTACGGCGGCCGCGCGCGGGCCCGCCCGCCCACCATTTTCCCGTTCATGATGGCGCGCCCGCCCCTTTTCACCATCGCCTCAGCCCCGGAACCCGCTGCTCCTGGCTGGCCACTGCGAGGGCTGAGGGCGCGGGCCGCCGCTGCGCAGAGAAGACGAGGCCGGGGCTGGAGACGAAGGTTCCCGGCCGCGCCCGTACCCACGAGTGCGGCCATCCTTCCGCCCACCTTCGAAGGCGGGTCCGGCCCCCGCAGGCCCGACATTCCCTTCTTTCTGGGAAGCCAGTGGTGACGGGGGAACCGGCGCCACTGGGAAGCGGGCCTAGGGTGGGTAGGCATCGGGATTAGGTAGGGTCATTGGTAGATACCCCGGGTCCTGGGTGAACGTCGGGGCAGGTAGGTGAGCGCAGTGCTTTTGGCTGTCCACGAACTGGCTCCTAACGGTGGCAGTAAATTCTGGAATGGGGTAATGGTCATTCCGAGGCCAGCAGTAGCCTCTTCGCAGTCATTCATCCATCTATTGGTGCATCTTTCGCCATCCAGACTTGTTGAGTTTTCCGTGAGAACGATTCTGGGTGCGTCTCGTGCCCTATCATTGTCATGGGGTACGTACCTCCCTAGTACCAGTTGTTGTTTTAAACAGACACCAAATTGTCAGAAGCTTGCAGTTTGGCATTGACTCTTGGGTCCAGCAAGCACCTCATGCCTTTTCACCTCCATATTTGTTTTAAGTCGGATCCCGAACCTTAACCTTGGCCTTCCACCACAGTCCACAGTAGCTCTGCCTCTATCAAGGTTGTCGCTTTACTCTTTCTCTAGAAAGCATTTGCATGTAGTACATAGCATTAAAATGTTTATTGTCTTTGAGTGAGGAAGGATATAACACGTTGTGTGACCATTGTGTTTAAAAACAAATCCTTTTTATTTTAAAATTTTGTAATAGCAATTGATTACTTGAAATAAATACAGTGAAAAGGAGGATTAGAGCATTTTAGAGACTAATGCTGTTCTTGAGGGACAGAAATAGGCATGGAAAAAAAATAGCATAGAATGTGGCTCTAAAATGTTGTATTATAGTCAAATGAAGATAACCAGATCCTCCACCCCAACACACACACCCCCCTCAAAACACACATTCACAAAAGGAAGTGACATCATGGGCAGACAGACTGAAATTTAGTGAAGTTGAAGTAATGGATGGACATGATCACTGTGCTTTATATTTCTTTTGGAAGAAATAATTGTAGAGTGGAAAGAGCACTTGGCTAGGAGTTGGGGGATCTAGTGTCTCCTTCAGGCTCTGTTACAGGCTGGCTAATCATTTCAGCTGGCTGAATATCTATTTCTGCAACTATAAAATGATCATCTCTAGAATTATTCCAACATTTAACAACCTCAAATTTCAATTTGAAAAAATACTCATTCTGATTGTATTAAGCTGTGAAAATAACTTTTTTCAATGTGTGAACTGTAGGTTGTCTTTAAATGAGGCAGTTTTCATGGTTGAGTAACTGGTTATTTTTCATACTATAATACTATTCTGCTTAAAGGGACAGATTTGTAACTTTAGGAATCCTTTAGGAAATCTCTATATATTTTTAAAGTAAGAAATACTGCTTTATTGTATCTTTCCATCTATATATATATATTATATACACATACCAATTTGTGTATTCAAAAGTGAATCAGTTGGTCGTTTCCTCATAGTATAATGACTTTATTTAATCTCACCTTTGAAAAATGCCCTCTGAAAGGCAAAAAGAAAATAGACTTAAAAGTTCATTAACATATTGCTCATACAGGTTGGCCACCTGTAGTAAGAAAAGTGCTGCTTCTAGAAGTGGTCCTGGTTACATAGTGTCATGGCACAGCTCAGTCAATTGGCATATCATAGTTCACAAAAATCATATGATCTGCATCCTAACAAAGTGAGTAGCATCTGGGATCTTAAAAGCTTGCAATACAGGTTTTTACTCACCAGGAGCAAAACAGTAAGAAGTTAATCGAAAGTTCAGAGAAGAAACAAGTCTATATGAGCCCTAACCTCATCTACCCTGAGACCAGTAGAGCTAGATGGTGTTTAGCTACCATCACTGACCGTTCTAAGTGGGGTCACAATAAGTGGTCCTGGGTAGAATGGGAGAAAAGTGTGGAGCAGACCTCAAGTTCTTAATTTAAAAAAGAAAAAGCCAGATAATTTAGAACAGTAGAAAACAGGAGGCTCCTTGAGACTATTGCCCTGAGACACTTTAAACCTAGAATCGAGCTGTCTCTTAAGATCACCTTCTAGTAAAATAGCACAGTGGCACACAAAATAAAGGTATTAACCCATAAGATTGGTGCTCTACTTAAAAAAAATCAGTATGAGACCAAAAGATCAACAATTATCAAATGCAAAGATGAAAAGATAAGGGGGCAGGGAAACTAGAGTCTTGGATATGGAACAAACAGAACACAGTTAAGGAGAATGTTGATAGGTTGTGATGAAAGTAACAAATGTCACTGAACAATTTGTGTGGAAATTGTAAAATGGGAACCAAATTTGCTTTGTAAACTTCTACCAAAAACTCAATAAAATATTATTTAAAAAAAAAAAAAAACCTAAATCAACTAGAGAACAGAATTCAAGCCCTCCGAAAAAAAAAGAAAGAAAAAGAAATGGTCCTAGTTGTTAATCTAGTTATAGTTGAAATTCTAGTTTCAGTTCTTTAGGCAAATTGGAAAATGAAATGAAACAAAATCTGGAAATTCTATGTCTATTCACACTTAGGGAGCTCTGGTAGCATAGTGGCTAAGACACTTGCCTGCTAACCAGACGGCTGGCGGTTCAAACCCACCAGCCACTCCTCGGAAGGAAGGTTGGGCAATCCTACATTCTGTAGTGATACTGCCACGGAAACCCAAAGAGGGGTTGCTATGAGTCAGGGCTGACTCGACGGTACATAACAACAACAACAATAATTCACACTTAGCATAAACTCAGCAGGGTGATTATTTTATAGTGAGTGGCATTTTGCAATTTGTATGGAAAGTATAAAGGCTAGAAAGTGAAGAAGATACTTGAATGGCTACTCTTTTTTAGTTACTGTGCTGTGTGCTTCATGCATTTTCTTACTTTATTTTCATCCCAACTCTGTGAGGCATTATCCCCATTTTACACCCAACTATAGCTTTGTAAATGATGATGTTATAAAATATCAATTGGAAAAAAAATCCTATTTATTCAAATTTCAAATACTGTTACTTGGTATAAAAGGCAGTCATATGGATTAGATTCTACATGCCCCCAAGGAATCAAATTTAGGAGGAGAAAAACAGGAAAGAGATTTAATTCATGATACAGGAGGAGCTTTCTAACAGAGCTGGTCCATCCTAGAAAGAAGTGAGTTCTTTGTTCTAGGGTCCTGGCCTAAGCTGCCACTTGTGAGGATTGTGGGCCAAGAGAATTTATACGTCTAGAACATTTGAACAAGTTAACTCAACTCCTGACTCTACTTTACACTGTATGATTTGGGGCATATTCTGTAATACTATGTTTTAGTTTACTCGTTGGTAAAATAGGGATAATTCTCACCACACAGATAAATTGTATGTAAAAGCACCAAGTAGTGATGCTTAACTGTTTCTTTTTTTTTTTTTTTCTCTTTCAATTTCTAACTTCCCTCTATTGTTATATTATTTTTAATTATTAATATTTCTATGTCAATTTTCAGCTCTTAAGGAGATATGTTATTTCCCCTAGATTTTTTCCGGAAAAATTTCAAACATAGAAAAGTTAAAAAGAACTGTACTATGAGCCTCCATGTATCTACCATCTAGATTGTACAGTTAACACTTTACTTGCTGTATCATATATCTGTTCATATATCCATTCCTCTGTCCATTCAGTAGTCCATTTTATTTTAATGTATTTCAAAGTAAGTTTCAGACATCAGTATCACTTTAAAACATTTAAGCATGAATACCATTAAATAGAGGTTAATATATTTTATAGATCCTTTTTTCTTCTGAAGTGAAATTTACATAGAATGAAATACATTTATCTTACTTACCTTAAATGTAGCATTCAGTGAGTTTGATAAATGTGTACACTAGTATTATCCAAACCCCTACCAATACCTGGGAAATTTCCCTAATACGTCATCTCAGTTGATTCTTGTCCCTCCTCTTCCCTCCTACTGTTTAGATGTGTTGTTTTAACATTAAATAGCAGCTGACTATTTCTAATGGAGTACATTTTATTATGTATGGTTTTTAAATTTAGACTTTCTTATGTGCCTAAGAATTTACTAGCTTAATAACAAGAAATACTTCTAAAATAAGTCTCTGAAGCGTTTAATTGTATACCATTAGTAAAAAATATTTGAGCATGAATCTCTAATATGTATAAATTTATTTTAAAATTATATGTACATGTACTTTATACTACTATTCTAAACATAAATAAACAGAAACTAGGAGAGATGAAAAATGATATGAATAATTTTTAAAAAAATTTATTGTCAGTATATCATTGATAGTAATAAATTAAATCCATATTTAAAATAGTGTTGATTTCTGAAATGTTTTTACTTCTTATGATCTGATTAGATAGTCACAATTTTTATCTTCTAAAGAGAGTTTTAAGGAGCTCTGGTTGCATAGTACCCAAGGCATTTGACTGCTAACCATAAATAAGGTTGGTGGTTCAAACCCACTCCATGTAAGGAAGACCGGCAATGTGAAGATTTTCCGCCTCGGAAGCCCAATGGGGGTTGCTATGAGTTGGAATTGACTCAATGGCAGTGAGTGTTTTGGGTTTGGAAAGAGATTTTCTAGAATAGAATTGTCAGCTTGGCCAGTTCCTTGTTGTTTACTTATGCTTTACTTATGTTCACATTATTACTATTATTTTTGTAAGGTTCTTTTTAGCTACTTGTTTATTTGGTGAGCTTTGGTAGCGTAGTGTCTAAGGCACTTGACTGATAACCAGAAGGCTGGTGGTGCAAATCTACCAGCC